CACATTCATGCGTGACAAAAAAATAGGAGGCAAATATATTTTTTGTAATTCTGTTTAATTACACTGCGCAAATCGGATGAGGAAGGGTTGGCTCTCCAGTCTCCATAGAACTTAAATATTCATTTTATTTTAGTTTTCGTGTTCGCATTTATGAGGAAAAAACAATGTTACAGACGCGACCGCGCTGAACTGGCACTAAAAGACTGCTTTAAAACTTTCACATAGTCTGTTGCCTTTAAGAAGTAAAAGCAGACAATACACTGTAATACAACTGTAATACAAGCCTCACTGAACATGTAACGAGTAAAATATTACTGAAAATTGATTAGTAATGCCTTACACTACTGCGTTACAGCAAAAAGTAATATGTTACTGTAATGTATTACTTTTGTAATGCGTTACTCCCAACACTGCTGGTGACTGTGGAGATCATTTGAGTTTAGTAAACTCATATCATGTTCAAGAAACCAGTTTGAGATGATTTGAGCTTTGTGATGTGTGTGTTTTCCTGCTGGAAGTAGCCATCAAAAGATGATGGACGTGATCAGAAACGATATTCAGGTCGGCTGTTGTCTTTAACACTTTCCCTGCCAGCGTTTTTGAAAAAAGTTGCCAGTCACCGCCAGAGTTTGTGACCATTTTCACAAAAATGTCATGTCCTCCAGTATATTTTGTTGAATGAATATCTGCTCAATCAATATATCAAAAGAAAGCTTCACTCAGCGGTTTTAATTTTGATGTTGTTTAATGTTGATGATCATGTTATTTTATATCTGCATCGGCTCTTGTTTGTTTCTGCATCTCCTCATGTGTTTTGAGCAGGAGATTCTGAACTCTTTCAGGAGACGTGTAATAGCGCCCCCTACCGTATATAACAGTAAAAACACAGTAACTGGCGGGGAAAACGATGTTCTTGCTACTGAGTGTGCCAAGAAAATATCCCCACACATCAGATAATTATAATTAGAAAGGGATTCTGAAGGATCATGTGACACTGAAGACTGGAGTAATGATGCTGAAAATACAGATTTACTGTCACAGGAATACATTACATTTCAAAACGTAATCAAATAGAAAATGGTTATTTTAAATTGTAATAATATTTCACAATATTATTGTTTTTACTGTATTTTTGACAGTGGTGGAATGTAACGAAGTACAAATACTTTGTTACTTTACTTAAGTACATTTTTCACGTATCGTTACTTTACTTAAGTAGAATAAATAGTGCATACTTTTTACTTTTACTTCGTTACATTTTGCAGCAATTATTATCCTTTCTACTCCACTACATTTCTACAACTTCTGTTACATTTTCATTACATTTTCTGATCAGTTCTTCCCCTGCCAAACCGTAATCTGACCGTCCGTTCGCTGCACGTTTGTCTCACCAGTGACGTTTGGTTGCCATAGATAGATCAACCCGGTTATACTAAAATGCGTCTCGCACGCAGTGTGTTTATCGTACAATTTATACCCAAAAATTTGTTTTTACGTGCATAGAAAACGCACCGTGTGTAATATACGTTTGGTTAGGATTATGGCAAGCCAAGAGGTTCAGAATTACACCATAAATGAATCGCGTTTAATGCCAAAAAATAGTTATTAACATATAGTAAGGATAAGCATGATATTGCCTAATTGCAAGCTTGTTTCAGAAATGGTGACAATATTTTTTTCCATCATTATTGAACATCATTATAGGAGTATTAGGTTGAATGAGCTAGAATTAAATGTTTTATTAATCATTAGAAAAAAATAGACATTAAGAGAATAAATTGTTATGCAAGTACTTTTACTTTTAATACTTAAAGTACATTTGAAATCAGGTACTTTTTACTTAAGTATGGTTGTCATTGTGTTACTTCTACTTTTACTAAAGTAAATATTTATCTGGTTATTTGTACTTTTACTTAAGTACTGAGATTCAGTAGTTCCTCCACCACTGATTTTTGATCCAATATCGTGAGCTTAGAACTATAAGGTTCTATCTCCGTTTAGGGTAGTTATGAGATATTGAGCATTAAAGTTTTTACATCCCAGCTGGCAAAGCTGTTATGTAGTATAATCTTCTATTATAGCTTTATCTATTAATCCTTTTTTTTTTTTTTTTTTACAAAAATAACACCACACAGGCATTAATAAACACCTAATGGATCAGATTTCGACCAAAAGTGGAGATACTGTAGAACCTTATAATTCTAAGCTCACGAAATGCGGGTTTCGATGAGCATAAGAAAGTTAATCTTACTGACCCCAAACTTTTGAATGGTGTAGCCTATATCAAAAATAGTGATGCTCTTCAGCTTAAAATTGAAGCTCATTTCTCCTACATAATGCGGCACTTACCGAAGGACTATGAGACGATGACACAGTGAATGTATTCTTCTGAACCCAGCGATTAATTCGATCAGAGATTCCTGAAGAAAAACTGCGAAATTCCTGAAACAAAGTAAATGAAATGAACAAATGACTGAGTGATCAGTTAAGATGAGCTTAGCTTAGTGTTTGTTCCTGACAGACAGTCAAACGGTCATCACCTGTTTGGAGAGCACACGGCTTTTCTCTGATCCCTCCTGTTCTTTCTCAAACAGCTCCCTCTTCCTTGACACCTCATCCACTAATCCCACAGTTTTGGGAACTATTGGTGATTTGGATATTTCCCATTTCTGAAAGTTGGAAAGAGCAACAAAATCCATTCCTTAATTCATCGATATCTTCTGACGCTGTTCACAAAAAAGGCTTGAAACTCTTTCAACAACTGCATTTCATTATAAATATTTTTCTCCATTTATTTATTAATTGCAACCATATTAGCAACATTTGAGACATGCATAGATACAGTTAAAATAATTTTGCGAAATCAATATTCACATGAAATAGACTAAATCTATCAAATAAACTATTTTAAGACCAGTGTTGGGAGTAACGCATTACAAAAGTAATACATTACAGTAACATATTACTTTTTGCTGTAACGCAGTAGTGTAAGGCATTACTAATCAATTTTCAGTAATATTTTACTCGTTACATGTTCAGTGAGGCTTGTATTACAGTTGTATTACAGTGTATTGTCTGCTTTTACTTCTTAAAGGCAACAGACTATGTGAAAGTTTCAAAGCAGTCTTTTAGTGCCAGTTCAGAACGGTCGCGTCTGTAACATTGTTTTTTCCTCATAAATGCGAACACGAAAACTAAAATAAAATGAATATTTTAAGTTCTATGGAGACTGGAGAGCCAACCCTTCCTCATCCGATTTGCGCAGTGTAATTAACAGAATTACAAAAAATATATTTGACCTCCTATTTTTTTGTCACGCATGAATGTGTGTCTTTTCGCTAATATGAAAAATAAAACATAGACTGATATTTGTCTAATGTCTGGAGTTCTTTAAGGAAGTAGCCTATATACGTTTCAATACATGAATTTTCTGAGAATTTTTATTTCAAGTTTTGACTGCAAATGTCATGTCCATAATGCTCCCCAATTTTAAATAATTTATCCTCATCTAGTTTTGTGGTGTAGGTCTAAGTATTTTATAATGTTAACTTCAAATAATACTAATAGCCTAATTTAAAGATAAGGCAGCATTGGATCTGGACGGTAAGGAGAATAACGCTGGAGTTGGAAGAGGCGTGTCGCGATTCTGCAGGTTCGTGGATCTGAGTCGTGTGGTGAATCGCGATTTCGGTTTCATATTGCATATCGTTACAGCCCAAAAGTTAAGTTTTACTTAGTTATTTTGGTGAAAGTAACTCAAAAGTAATACATGAGTAATGTAACGCATTACAATTCTGAGACAGTAATATTGTAAGGTAATGAATTACTTTTAAATAACAGTAACAAGTAATACCTAATGTATTACAGTTTGGAAGTAACTTGCACAACACTGTTTAAGACATTTGATGTGTTTTATTTAGTTTGTCAGAAATATCTAGATTTGCACAAAGTGTGGAAAAGTGGCAACTTTTTTGTCATTTCAGATTGAGATTCTGACCTGTGAGGCTTGAGCCAGTCGTTCCATTTTCTCCTGAATGGTGCGAGATGATAATCTTTGTCGGGAGCTTTTGAAACAGCACAGACGGCATGTAATTCATCACAGCCTTACTTTACTGCAGCTACAAAAGAGACTAAATGCAGGAATAGAGACGCACTCACTTCCTCTGAAATGGGGTCTGCTGTTCCTCCTCTTGGTTGGAGCTCTGTGGGCCAGAAACATCCAGAATAAGTTTTTGTGCTCATCAATATAAGATTGAGACTGGACTGAAGGGGTGACTATACTGTAGCTTTACAGTAAATGTGTCTTTGATAGCTTTACCTTATTGGACTCGATGGTCTTTGCTGCTATCCGCACACTGGCACTGTGGATCAGATTGAAGGGGAAAAGAAAAGAAGGGAAGTCAGTACAGATTTGTGTCACTCATGACTGTAGAAGCTTCAAATACTTACTAAAACACTTACATGAACTGATGTTGACGTATAGAATTTATTTTAAAAAGCTACTATATTCAGAAAGTAATATTTTCTGAATTACTAGTGCATAAAAAGCAGAATTAAGATGTATTGTTACCGTTTTAGTGGGCACAACTATCTAAGCCCTCTAAAGTTTAGATAATTGCATTTAGTCATTGTTTTTAATGTCTGTACATGTGAAGTGGAACGTGACATAACTACATGTATTTCATCCAAAACATACCGTCACTGCCTAAGGTGACAGTTTGTGCTATGTTATATATAACAAAATCTTCATACCGTTAAATTAAATTGCGTAAAAACAATGTAATAGGAACATGCATGTGTTACTCAAACACCATAAAAGACTTAAAGGAGTAGTTCATTTAAAAAAAAATAACTTTTGCTGATAATTTACTCACCCCCATCTCATGCAAGATGTCCATGTCTTTCTTTCTTCAGTTGAAAAGAAATTAAGGTTTTTGATGAAAACATTCCAGGATGTTCTCCATATAATGGACTTCAATGGGAACCAAACGGTTCAAGGTCCAAATGAGAGTTTCAGTGCAGCTTCAAAGGGCTTTAAACGACACCAGACGATGAATAAGGGTATTATCTAGGACCCTTCGGGTCATGACTCAAAAAAAGATTTGTTCATTTTGATGAGCGGGTTCGATCAGGAGAGTCACGAACGCTCATCACAGAACACAGCAAGGCGAGCATTTGTGCTAATAAAACGTATTTTTTTTAATTTATTTTTTAAATGATCGATCGTTTCGCTAGATAAGACCCTTATTCATCGTCTGGTGTCGTTTAAAGCCCTTTGAAGCTGCACTGAAACTGTCATTTGGTCCTTGAACCGTTTGGTTCCCATTGAAGTGCATTATATGGAGAAAATCTTAGAGCCTTTCTTTTCGACTGAAGAAAGAATGACATGGACATCTTAGATGACATGGGGGTGAGTAAATTATCAGCAAAAGTTTTTTTTTTTTTTTTTTTTAAGTGAACTACTCCTTTAAGTTTCCAAACTTTTGACATGCACTCTACGTTAATACATTTCCCTTTGCAATTAAGAGTCAGAAAACATTACATTCAGTTAACACTCAATTTGTAGATTACACCCTTGTGAAAAGAAGTACATTTTAGCAAACTTTTAAAAAGAGAACTTGATATGAAAATATTGTACTTTAAATAATATATTAATTAAACGCAAATTAAATGTAACGCTTTTGGACTCTTAATTGTATGGATACACTTTACAATATGGTTGATTAGTTAAGTGCCTACAGCAGTTATTAATCTTAGTTAATATTAATTTCAACATTTACTAATATGTTATTAAAATCAAAGGTTGTATTTGTTAACATTAGTCAATGCACTGTGAACTAACATATTTACAAACAATGAACAGCTGGATTTTTATTAACTAACATTCACAAAGAAACTTATGTCATATATAGAAAAAAACATTTAACACAATTGTAATGCTGAAGTTGCAGTTTAGTACACTTCAAATATATTCACTTTAAATGTAATAGTAAATAGCAAATTATAATCAAGTACTTTACATGTGCTTAAGTCAACACATCAAAATATAAGTGCACTTTAAAGCATGACAAAAACAATTATTTAAATTCACTTTAAAGTAAAACATTTAATTTGACATTATTACAAAGTGCACGTTTTAAAAATATACTTAAGTGACTTAACAGTCAAGTGGCCTTATATTTAATTAATATATTACAATATATTATATACAAATACAGTGTTTTTTTTTTTTTCAAATTTATTGTTGAAATTTTAGATACACTACAAGTGCAAGGGAAACATATATATAAAAAAATAAGTTAAAGTTAAATCAGTGTGTGTGTGTTGATCAGTACCTTCTCTGTAACGGCATGTTTTGTTCCTCCTTCTTCTTCATCATCTGAAACAGATTATGACAGTGAGGCACAAGCAGAACTGTCTTATCTGCTCTGCGTTCAGTTAGTCAAATATTTAACAAATGAGTCCTCCCTCACAGCACAGGCATAAATAATGAAAAGCAGGTGTATGAATGTCCTCGCTGTATTTATGAAGTACATGACGTAGCACTTGAAGTTTATTATTGACACAAGAAAACTTGACAGGCTTGCTGTCCATATGCAATGCAAATGTTGACACCGTGTGAAACATATTTACTCTCTTGCTCGATTATCTGGGATGTATTTAGTAAAATGAGAGCTTTACCCTGAAGGACACCGTTCTGGAGCTCTGTCGGGTGAACGCAGGTTTCGCAGCTGGTTCGAAATTGCTCGGTGACCCATTTTCATGTCTCTGTTGCATACATGCAAACAAAATAAGAGAATGCATAATGTTTTACACAAATACCATCAATAAATAAATGATAAATAATCTATAGAATTAGCCGAGATTATTCTGCAAGTTAATTTAGTTGAATGTGGTTGTAAACCCTGCAAAAGTCTGTTCACAGAACGGGATGAACTCAGTGCCCTTATTATGTTCTTATTAGAAATACACGTTAAAAAGAATATACTTATGCATGTGAATTAATTAACATGTTATAACAATAAAATAATACATATTATATTCACTTTTCAATTGTATTCTATTGTTCTTCTAAAATATACACTAATGCTATATTTAAATAAATTTGTAATTACGCATTTGTAATAAAGTTGTGATTTACTACATTTAAAATATATTTAATTTCAAAACCCTATAATTAAATTCTAAATGAATAATTAATTAGCCAACACATCAAAATTATGACATTTTTAAAGCATGACAAAAATATTTTTTTTTTTAAATGATTTAAAAATTTACTATAAAGTGAAACTTGACATTATTAAAAAGAAAATTCTCTTTAAATGCATTTAAATGGCCTTTTATGTCATTAATATTATATTATCTACTGTTTTCCACAAGAATGAGTGTTTCCTCATATCATTTATCATATCTGTGAAAATCTCCTGCTTCTGTTGGCCACAGGTGCATTACAACCGTTACAGTAAATGTCATAGCGTCAGCGTTCCTCTAGGGGGAGCCCTAATGTCATTCATTTCATTCTACTTTAGATGTACTATGGTAATACTATGCTATTCTTTGAAGTTCCATATAAAGGCCATTGGTATCATGGTATCATCACAGTACTTTTTGCAGGGAGACGATACTAAAAAAAACCCAGCTGTGCTCTCTCTTTTTTTTTGAGTCTGTGTCTGTCTCACCGCTGTTTCTCCGTCTGATGTGGGGCTCACAGACCCTGAGTGGGCGGGGCTGTGTGGTGACCCCACCCCTGCAGACGGAGGGGGCGGAGACTTGGGGCTCAGAGGAGAAACCAGTCTGCTGGTTGCTGAGGGTGACGCGGGACTCTTATCAAAGGAGATGGAGAGCGAGCTGATCAAAGAGAACAACAGAGTAGGGCTTTCATTATGGCAATCAGCACCACTACAAACATTAATGATAAAAGAGCTGGGTTTACATGACAGTGAGTCCAACCAACATCTCACTCTAATTTAAATATGTATAACATAACACAAATGTAAGTACCTCACGAACTTTCGGGATGCTTTTGGGGGAGCATGGGAGTTTTTTGATGCTGAATCTTGGTTCGTGTCTCCATTTTCTCGCTGCAAAAAAACAACAACAAAAAAAGTCATTTATGTAACCAAAAAATGATGCAATGGCAGAATTGTGTTAATATTGTGTTGCTGTGTTGGGACTGTGTCAAGATGAGGAAGAATTTGTTATTGAGTGGTGTTGTTAGGCACACAAAAGCTTATTTGCAATTATTGTGCCGCATCACATTTGTCTCATTATGTGAGTTCATAAGTTATGTGTGATCATATACACGTATCTTATAACTCGGCTGTTATAACAGGAAGCTTTGCAATGTTGCCAAATGTATTATTGGATCAATGTGATCTTATCGTTTGGTTGTGTCAATGTCAATGCAGGTTTATGTCAAACTCCACATACAAATTGAAAGAAAAAAAAAAGATTATGTAATTTTCATTTGTACAATTTGTTAGTTGGATAAAGCAAACATCACAAGATTGTTTGATATATGAATCAGTTTTACAGTAAATATTCGAATAAATACACTACCGTTCAAATGTTTTGGGTCTGTAAGATTTTTTAATGAAATCATCAAGGCTAAAAATAGAGTAAAACAGTAACATGGTGAAATAGCATTGCAATTTAAAATAACTATTTTGGTATTGTAATATACCCTCACCTAAAGGATTATTAGGACCACCATACTAATACTGTGTTTGACCCACTTTCGCCTTCAGAACTGCCTTAATTATACGTGGCATTGATTCAACAAGGTGCTGAAAGCATTCAATCTATCTGTGTACTGTGACATGTGCTTTTGAATATACCACCAACTTTAAATTTAAAATGTGAAGTGACCTGACAACCAATTTCTGAGAATATCTCTTAGTTTCACATTTGCACATTAGTGAGATCTCTGAAATCTTTATAACTAGTGTTGAAATGGCTGTTTTGGGTAGATGCGGTTAACATTGCTTCGTACCTTAAGAAGATAATTCAAGCTAGGATTCATAAGTGAAAGACTCATTAAAAGGAGCAACTTTTAATTAAAACATCACTTACATGTACTTACCAAGAAAGTACCGGGTAATATTAGGTAACTACATGGGTTATGGTTAGGTTTAGGGTAGTTTAAGACTTAGTAACTATTAAAGAGCCCCTATCATAGCATTTGAAATGTTCCTATTTTTGTTTTAGGAGTTCCCAAAAACAGTTTAACATGCACGCAAGGATAAAAAACACTTTATTTGTCTTATAATATGCATTTATTTTTAACTGATTTGCTCACCGACTCCCAAATGATTCGTACGACTCGTTTTTCCAAACCACTCCTTTGCGTGATGCTAATCGGCGGTGATTGGTCAGATGACAGACCCAGTCACTTATTGTTTGTTAGCATAACGCATAAACATATTGATAAAGCACTGCAGTACTAAAAGACGCTCTATTCTTTATGACAACTCCAATAACAGCGCCAAACATTTCACATATTTAAAAAAAAAATTTACATTGGAGACCTAGAAGCTGCGCTGAGCGTAACTTACACACACAGATACACGCGCACACACATACTGCCTCGCGCCCTGATGCAACAAAACCGTTCAAAACCCATAAAAGCAACAATTATTAAAGGGTTAGTTCACCCAAAATGAAAATTAAGTCATTAATTACTCACCCCCATGCTGTTCCAACCACTTAAGACCTTCGTTCGTCTTCGGAACACAAATAAAGATATTTTTGATTGAATCTGAGAGCTAGATCAGTCCTATATAGACTACCTAAGGGACTGGCTCTTGACAGCCCATAAAGTCATTAAAGAAAAGGTTTAAATATTCCATGTGCCTACAGCGGCGCAATTATAAGTTTATCAAGCGACGAGACTACTTTTTGTGCGAAAAAAACATAAATAACGGCTTTATTTGACTATTCTATTACTTCCTTATGGGCGCATGCGCGAGAACTGAGACGAGGACGTTCTCATTCGTCTACTTCTTGTTACCGGCTGCTCACCGCTTAGGAGTTTTACCGCCCCCTACCGTATAAAATGATGATCCATATATAAGGCGCTCCGGATTATAAGGAACACTGTCGTTTTTTGAGAAGATTAAAGGCGTTTAAGTGCACCTTATAGTGCGGGAAATATGCAAATTGAAAAGCGTATGTACAGCGCGCATCTTCCTCTGCTTGTAAACAGAAAGTTTTGCGCTTCCAGCTATATCAGCACATCATCTTATACGGTAGGTGGCGGTAAAACTCCTAAGCGGTGAGCAGCCGGTAACAAGAAGTAGACGAATCAGAACGTCCTCGTCTCAGTTCTCGCGCATGCGCCCATAAGGAAGTAATGGAATAGTGGAATTAAAAAAAGTAGTCTCGTCGCTTGATAAACTTATAATTGCGCCGCTGTAGGCACATGTAATATTTAAACCTTTTCTTTAATGACTTTATGGGCTGTCAAGAGCCAGTCCCTTAGGCAATCTATGTAGGACTGATCCAGCTCTCAGATTCAATCAAAAATATCTTTATTTGTGTTCCGAAGATGAACGAAGGTCTTACGGGGTTGGTACAGCATGGGGGTGAGTAATTAATGACTTAATTTTCATTTTTGGGTGAACTAACCCTTTAATAATACTTACAGGTTGTGATTCGAAGGAGGAAGCTGATCCATCTACACTGGGGTAAGTAAGTTACTGAGCCCTCCTTCAGGAACAACCGCTTGCGAATCCACATTTGAATTCATTTATGTTTTTGAACTAACGTTATTCGTCAATAAAATGATGAGAACACAATCGGGCTATACTGTTGTGGTATCATTTGCAAATATGAACTCTAACCACCGATTCTTCACATGCTCGTCCCTGGTAAATGAAAACAAAGTGGCTGAACTATCTTTGCATTGTAGAACACAGCGTCTTCTCGACATGATGCTATGATGAAGTATTTGAATTGTGTAGACTTCAAGTTTACACTTCCGTCTGGGCGTGCAGTAACTGGGCGCGGCCAATGACCTCTCTACGTCACTACGAACCAGCTAATGACTCGTTTCAAAAACAATTCATTTCATAGACTCAGAGTCGACTCTCACTTTTGAAAGACAAAAACTTTATATACTGTGCACTTTCAGATATAAATCTTTGCAGGATGTTTTCATTCCCTTAGAGCTATATTCCACACCATATGAACATTTATTTTCAAAAATCCATGATAGGGGCTCTTTAACGAGTTGTTGTAGTACGATAAGTATATAGCGTGTACATGCGGAACAGGACTGTAAAATAAAGTGCTACTGAAACCTCAGTAGTCCTTGAGCATTACTGTGCATATTAAAACATGTTGTTGGCTGAGACTTCATGGTTGTTTTGAAATCTCTCACAGCACACTTCAGAAGTGGGTCAAATGACTTCATGTTCTCTCATGTTTTGGTCCTGTAGGTGTGTGTAAGGGAAACTGGGCCTCCCGCAGCTCTTTCTGTTAATCCTGTAGATGATTAAGTACACACTCCACAGGTGGTATAACAGGAGACGGCTTCAAAGCAAGCAGATGACCTCTGACCTCTAGTCACATGATGAAACCTGTCAGAAGTACACTGTGTGGAAGTGACAACTTACAGACTCCGAGTGGTTAGCGCCGGAGAGACGGGGATTGTATTATGAATCTATTGCTAAACAAGTTCATTTGACCTTTCTGCGAATGACAAACATAATGAGACGCTGGTGTCTCGTTGACTTCCATCAGCTCGATACAACCTGACTATTTCATTGCCACTGGCCTACTATATATAGAACCTAATGGGTAATGCTACAATGTCATTTGCAACATTAATATTCCCCTGCAGTGAGAATTGCATAATAAAACAAGATCCCAGTTCAGGTTGCAAGCCTTTGCAAAGAACATGCTATGCCAAAATGCTATGCCATTTTTTTTAGAAGTTATTCATAATTGCTGGCTGCTAATGACAAAGCATTTGTTCGACCAACAAACACCAAACCATACCAAGCCCAATAGTAATAGTGATGGGTTTAAAATGCTCCATGGCACTGGCCACTGAGTAGAGTAGAGTCTGGTGTAAAATGATATATTCTGTTACAGTAAAATTCTGTCATCATTTACTCATCCTCATGTTTTCACTGTTAAATGCCAGAGGGCGCTATTACACATCTTCTGAAAAAGTACAGAATCTCTGGATCAAAAACAAGTGAAGAAGAAGCAAAAACGGAAGCATTGCAAACACACACGTAAGCTAGCGTGAAGGAATGTTTGACTAAACGTTATTTTCTCAGCTTTTTGATCAATGTTGCTTTTTTTAAATTAAACTTACTCATATTCAAGTGTTGAATAAAAAGAATGCATGAAGTGGAGCCGGACCCGATAAAGGATTTTGAAGGCCGATACCGATACAAATATTTTTGGGTTTTAAAATCCGATATTCCGATATATCGGCCGATATTTTATTTATTTATTTATTTTTTTAAACTGGACAGTCACAAACTGACAGTTACAAATTTTGTAATGCTTATTTGAGTTAAGATAACTGATGTGGATGTTCTTTTAATTGTTATTCAAGCAATGTATGTATCGTGACCAACTCAACGAGTGTTAAACTATACAACTCCAACACTCATGACATGGTTCAAGTGTGTTTCGTCCGTTTTTATTTTATTTTTGAAATATTCATTTATCGGCCATTATAACTGCCGATACCGATTGTTTGGAAAATGCCTAATATCGGCCGATAATATCGGTCTGCCGATATATCGGTCTGGCTCTAGCATGAAGCTATAGTATTTTTTTAAAGCAGATGCGCTGTTCTTTCTTTTGATACCCAGACAGCAACATTAGTGTCGGCCCATATCCGGGACGTGTGGAATCCACGTGCGGATCTGGGCCGACACTATGTTGCTGTCTGGGTATATTGATGTTTAGATATTCATACAACAAAATATTCTGGGGGCCATGAAGGTTTTGATCAAAAATGCTGATGTTGGCTGGCAACTGGGTTCTCACAATCATGGGAAACCTTTATTTATAAGGTAGCCTAATTTTAAAAGTGTAAATCCTAGACCTGGAAATGCCATAACAATTAATAAGGAAGTGAATTCTATGTTAAAATTTTCAATTAACAAAGAAGTTCCATATTTCACATTGATGTAAAGTTTGTTGATGCCTGACGAAGACCACTTGTGGTTGAAACATTACGATTTGTTGAACTTCTTTGGGAGCAGAAATAGCAGCCTGCCTGTTTTTGATTTATATATTTTTAAAATCAATAACCAGTAAATCATGTTCAAGTGGAAATGTCATGTAAATTCGTTGTTTTAAAAGACTGGGAACCTTGAAGAACATCCAGCTCTTAAAACATCAGGAATTCAGTGTCTGGCTTTTGAGTATTGTTGTGGACCATTGGGGGACCTTAGAATCAAAATGGTTGAGAATGACTTCTCTAGTTTCCCTACCTTCTCCTGTGTCTCTGCGTCTCTGGAGTTGGTGGGAGGTTCTGGTGACATGAAGGTCTCCACGAGATGCTGGATGTTCTTGTGGAACTTCTCGTCCTCCGTTTCCCCCAGCAGCTCCACATGGGGCTCCGCGTCCAGGCTGCCCCCCTCCTCCTTATTCTTCCTCAGCGTTTCAATGTGCCTCATCCTCCGCCGTTCATCACGGACACGCAACATCTCCACAAAGTCCATCTGCAGCTGGGCCACACCGCCACCGGAGTCGCCATCATCAGCAGGCCCGCTAACACTGGAAACATTAGGCAAGTGTGTGTTTATATTGGCTTTTTCACAATTATTTCTATGCATTCGTACTTTAAGATACTTTAGAGTTGAGGTATTAAGGGATTAAGACAATCAATGCTATTAAGTGCGCTATTTTTCACAAGGGGATACAGACTTTTTTAGACACAGCATTATTAAATTTAAATGATTTTTTTCCCCATACAAGCCTTCTTGTTCCACTCTATGAGGAACAGAATTTGTCTTTGTACTTTGATATTCATCACCAGTCTCGAGACCGATTTCTGCTTTCTCTGACTCGTCTCTGACTTGTTCCTTCAAAGACTCGGCCTTGACTTGGTCTCGACACATCAAAGACTCGGTCTTGACAGAAAAGAGCGGTTTGACCTAAAAATATCAAAATTGAAACTACTGAACAAAGACACCTACATCTTGGATGCCCTTGAGGTAAGCTAAAACATACCAAAAAATAATTTCAAAGTGAACTATCCCTTTAAGACATTAAGACGACTGCTCTAAACAATTCCCAATCTTACTTAGTCTGTAGCCCTAACTGTTGATTATTAACTGGGGTGATATTAAATCATGAATATCAAAACTGATATGTCGAGACAAAATCTCGACTCGGACTTGCTTCCTCAAAGACTGTCTTGATTCGGACTCGACTGTATTTGAAAACCAACGGACTCAGACTCGACCCTTCAAAGACTCAGTCTTGATTCGGACTCGACTGTATTTGAAAACCAACGGACTCGGTCTTGACTCTGACTTGACCCTTCAAAGACTCAGTCCCGACTCGGACTCGACCCTTCAAAGACTCAGTCTCAACTCGGACTCAACCCTTCAAAGACTCAGTCTTGACTCGGACTCGACTGTATTTGAAAACCAACGGACTCGGTCTTGACTCTGACTTGACCCTTCAAAGTCTCAGTCCCGACTCGGACTCGACCCTTCAAAGACTCAGTCTCGACTCGGACTCAACCCTTCAAAGACTCAGTCTCGACTCGGACTCGACCCTTCAAAGACTCAGTCTCGACTCGGACTCAACCCTTCAAAGACTCAGTCTCGACTCGGACTCGACCCTTCAAAGACTCAGTCTCGACTCGGACTCGACCCTTCAAAGACTCAGTCTCGACTCGGACTCGACCCTTCAAAGACTCAGTCTCGACTCGGACTCGACCCTTCAAAGACTCAGTCTCGACTCGGACTCGACCCTTCAAAGACTCAGTCTCGACTCTGACTCGACCCTTCAAAGACTCAGTCTCGACTCTGACTCGACCCTTCAAAGACTCAGTCTCGACTCGGACTCGACCCTTCAAAGACTTAGTCTCGACTCGGACTCGACTGTATTTGAAAACCAACGGACTCGGTCTTGACTCTGACTTGACCCTTCAAAGACTCAGTCCCGACTCGGACTCGACCCTTCAAAGACTCGGTCTTGACTCGGACTCGACCCTTCAAAGACTCAGTCTCGACTCGGACTCGACCCTTCAAAGACTCAGTCTCGACTCGGACTCGACCCTTCAAAGACTCAGTCTCGACTCGGACTCGACCCTTCAAAGACTCAGTCTCGACTCTGACTCGACCCTTCAAAGACTCAGTCTCGACTCTGACTCGACCCTTCAAAGACTCAGTCTCGACTCGGACTCGACCCTTCAAAGACTTAGTCTCGACTCGGACTCGACTGTATTTGAAAACCAACGGACTCGGTCTTGACTCTGACTTGACCCTTCAAAGACTCAGTCCCGACTCGGACTCGACCCTTCAAAGACTCGGTCTTGACTCGGACTCGACCCTTCAAAGACTCAGTCTCGACTCGGACTCAACCCTTCAAAGACTCAGTCTCGACTCGGATTTGACTGTATTTGAAAACCAACGGACTCGGTCTTGACTCGGACTCGACAGTATGTGAAAACCAACGGACTCGGTCTTGACTCTGACTTGACCCTTCAAAGACTCGGTCTTGACTCGGACTCGACCCTTCAAAGACTCCGTCTCGACTCGGACTCGACCCTTCAAAGACTCAGTCTCGACTCGGACTCAACCCTTCAAAGACTCAGTCTCGACTCGGACTCGACCCTTCAAAGACTCAGTCTCGACTCGGACTCAACCCTTTAAAGACTCAGTCTCGACTCGGACTCGACCCTTCAAAGACTCGTTCTTGACTCGGACTCCGCATAGGGCATAGGCGGTCTCATCTCCATCAATATTCATCACTCTGGTAGACATTCTGGTAGATGAGATCTTATTTTGGGCAAACTGTTTTTCTACATAAGCATGGACCGTGTTCATGTATGGCATTATGAGACCAAATTACAACATTACATGTTGATCATATTCATGTTCACATTTATGATACCATAAACCTTTATCTAAAGTTTCTCATCCCTGTATTTGTAAGGTCAATTGCTTCATGCAAATATTTAACATAAAATTTGCATTTAGTTTAATATACTGTATATCAGAGTCTTATCAGTTTAAAGCTGATTACAGTTCTTAATCAAGTTGAAGTGGACATACAGTAGAACGCATTAATGCACTGTAAAGTTCCCTAAATTTGTGTTTTCGGTGTAATTTTTGTCCTTTTATTGTTCTCGCACCTACTGGTTTGTGGTTTGGTCTCTTCAGTGGGACTTTCATCCGTGTCTGTTGTAGACTCCCTGGTCTTCCTCCTCTTCTCTCTCTCCACTTCTTCATCATCCTCCACAGTCCACTGTCGAGCCAGCCTGAAGATCAAACACAGCATACATTTAACATGCATTAATATTAAACATGGAATTATAATATTGCAGCACTAAGCATTCTGACTTTACCTACATATATAAACATACATGATTAGATAGATAGACAGACAGACAGACAGACAACAGACGAGATAGATAGATAGATAGATAGATAGATAGATAGATAGATAGATAGATAGATAGATAGATAGATAGATAGATAGATAGATAGATAGATAGATAGATAGATAGATAGATAATTAAAAAATATATATATTTAAAACTCTATTCAGGCAAAGGGAACAAAATCCAAATGACATTCTGAGCAACTGACGACTGAAATCTATCCCGTCAGTCTTTTTGAAAGTATGAGAAGATGCATTACGATCAAAGGTCACGATGATATATCCCAGAGGTGGACTATTATATTTCAGCCTGAAAACAGTGTTTCATTGTGTAATAACAGGTTTTTCAAGCTCTGTTTTGGTTCAAGGATACTCTATGCCTTGAGTCTGAAAGCATGTGAATGCATTACACTAGCTGTCAAAATAATCACAACCTGCATCATCACAAATTCAAGTGCATGTCCAGTCGAGACTAATTACTTTCAGTTTTTATTTTAGTCATAAAGTTGTCATGCAACATGCACGACTTGCTACATATCAAGATGACCGTAAATGTGTATTGCTTGCTTTGGAAGTGTTGCCGTGGGTGCTACAGTAATAGCCTTTCTGGAAAAGGAAACTCGTTGTGTTAAGTTACAATCAATGCTTACGTTTGGTGTTTTTTTTTCTTCAATATTTAGGGTGTTTTTTTTCTTATTAAAAGTAAAAAAAACAACAACTAACAAACAAAAAAAAACAGTAAATAATCTCATTGTGTGATAGTTCTGATAGTTGTAGGTTAAACATCTATAGAACACCTGCTTCTGCAACTTGTCAGAAACAGCAAAACTAACCGGACCAAACAAAATTAACGCTTAATATATATTTAAATCTACTTACGTTGACAAAGCAGACCAGTTTTTCCTGCTAATGGACATTATTTTTGTGTGTCGGTAGGAGAGAGGTGTGTGAAGTCCTGCGCTCTTCTGTCTGTGTGTGTGTCACCTTTACCCCGCACCTTCACGAGAGCCGCGTCACATGACCACCTTCATCACCTCCCGCCGAGCCTTCACATCATACATGTTCCCTGTTATAGGGTTAATAGGCTACACTTTTATAGAACCACTTCCTTATTTTTATCAGCTTGGGTATCATATTTAAGTCAGTGAGCGGTTCTATGCGTGTGTGTGGACGTCGCAGGAACATACAAGACGACGATCACGACGCAAGAACGCTCCCTTTATCATTAACAAAACGCTGCATGGTCAACAATATTGTCCAAAAAAATAAAATAAAATAAAAAATAGCCAAAACTATGTACTGAAGAAATAAACCTCAAAATATTGTTTTAAAGTGAAATGTCAAAAAGCTCAAATAAATTAACAAAAATATATCAGAAAAAAATAGATATACATTGTATTATTCATATTTGCCTGAAATATTTTAGAATATTAAAAAAATACATAATAATATTTTTTTTACTAAATAAATAACATTTTTAGGCTACACATCCCATATAACATCACATAAAGTAAACGTAAAGCCACAGCAAAATCAAAATGTGCCATTCCGTTAATATTAATAATAATTATTATTTTTATTAATAATTATTCCTAATAAAATAATATAATAAACATTCACATTATAATTAATAATAATGTACCCTCATATTCTGAGGGCGGGGCAAGCTGTCATTCACATGAGATCGACCAATAGCAAATCACAACCATCCAATCAATACTCCAGTAACAAAACCAAGCCCTGCCCTACATTTGTGCTTGTTCAGAAGCCCTTTCACTCTGTTATCATGCCGACATTATATTGTCATATGGAATTACAATGAGTCTGTCTTTGAAAGTTGGTGACTCAACAACACCATAATATTCCTCTAATTATGAACATCAATGGCATCACTCACAAAGTCTAGCCTTCATGATTGCTTATAGGCCTAATGGGAACACTTTATTTATGTAATGCTGTGTTGACTCATTGAAGCAATATAGTTTTGTTGCATTACATCAGGTAGCATAGCAGTGTAGATGTGGTGAAATGTTTTCAAAAGGATGTTAGCCTACATTTTGAAACATCTTACAAGATTCAATGCACTGAAGAATACAGCATTTAAAGTGAAGTCAAGTGAAGTTTAAGACATTCAGTTATTCACAGCAGAATTTACTCCGCGGTTCAGAAAGCATTGATACTCGAGGGGTTTGCTTTATTCCCTGTGCCACACCTACGAGAGACAAGTAGATCTGCTGTACTTTGACCAGGGCAATATGAAAGCAGTAGTTGACTATCCAGAATAAAAAGGGTTTGGTCATAAAGGAAATAATAGGCAACTTCACTGGAATGACAAATCTGATGACATGTCTCCGCTATATTGTTTCACTTACAATTGCCTCTATATTCACTCATGCAAGCAGAGAAAAAACAACAACATTCCCCTTAAGGAACGTCACAATGAACTTCAACAGTTAAATGTTAAATAACTACATCAAGCACTAGTGGCCTGAACACCCCACCCAATGCTAACACAGGGAAGAGACAGCGATATCCACTATGCAAATAAGGGTTGGAGTCCACTGTCTTCACACTGTAAAAAATGATCGATGCAAATAGTTGTACAAATGAGGATATACATGTTGGATCAACATAATGGTTGTGTCAAAAAAGAAAAATATGTTTGGTCAATGATTACATGATTTCCATGACTGTACTACAAAATGTTCATCAGGAGAAAATAAATAACGGTGTTCACAGAATTTTTAACATTGCACAAAAAATATTATGTTGGCCGAGCAAGAGGGAACAGCGTCAATCGTCTGAGCATGCGCAAAGGAGTTCTACCAGGCTTTTGAATTTCCCCCGCCACGAGTCACGACATTGAATTGGTGAGTGAATTTTCTTTATTTGTGTTGCGAGGTAATTAGCAAATTTAGGTTAAGAATATATCTTGTGAGTAACGTTAAGTGATTAGCATTCCTTTCCAACTGGCATGCGGTTTTAACGTTGAACCACACGGTTAAGCATCGCATGGGTTGCCACCTGTGCCGGTTTTACCAGGATTGTCATTTGTCCTTCTTTTTAATAACTTGCCTCGGGAAATTTAAGCACTCGTTCGTTTCCGAAACCGAAAGGCTACGTTCAAACTGTGTAGCGCGCGGCCGCGTGCACGGCACAGAGGGGGAGACCTCGCACTCGACATGTTAGAAACGCATGTAATTCCCGGTGGGCGGGTTGTCGATATGTCCCGGTTTTTTATCAGACATAGGTGGCAACCCTATGTTCCTGTTTAATATTTTAAATGTTCAATATTTTTAAATTCCAGTTGCATTCTTTATATGTGTGATAATTGACTGCAACAGACAGCTAGTCTTGACAACTAACTTAGTGCTTTTGCTATCACAGAGTGACTGATCATTTAGGCTAGCTCTGAGTTAGTTTCCATTCAAAGCGCGTGTGCCATCGTGTTAGCAGCTAGTACTTTGCACAAGTACTTTTTAGAAAACTCTAATACATACTGAAGGTTGTTCTGTGTATAGAACTATGTGTTATTTATGCATTTGTAACGTTATTTATTTGTTTTTCAGGTATTTGTTCAGACTTAAAGCTAAATGCAGTGTCGCTATTGTACATTTTCACATCTGCAGCAAGACACAGGCTACAGGCTTCATCATTGGCAAGTAGGTAAATGTTCTTTTCCCTGCATTCATCCAGACTGTGTTTGTATTTTTACAACACATGCGCACACACACACTAATGACACATGATTTGGATATTTTTGTGTTTTTTTTGGAAAAAATGGATTAAATGGGTTAATAATGTCTTATTGATGACCTGTATTTTTGGCAGACCACAGATCTAACTATTTATAGGTTTGCTGTTCTTCGTGGTCTTCCCCTGTACTTGAGAGAGCCAACTTCAATTTCAAAGACTAATATTTTTTTTTTTTTTTTTTTTCAGACTTAAAGCTAAATGCAGTGCTGCTTTTGTACATTTTCACATCTGCAGTGCACATATGCAATGCTTCATCATTGGCAAGCAGGTAAAGGTTATTTTCCTTGCATTCATCCAGACTGTGTTTGTATTTTTACAACAACAGGGCCCTTAAAAAAACATTTATGGAGAGCACATCCTAAAATAGACTCAGCCCACTCAGACACACACCCCAGACACATCACGCACCCAACACACTCAAATCACGCACACCGCAACACACCCCGCACGCACCCCACACACTCACATCACGTGCACACCACACACCCCACAATGTACACCACGCACGCATATCACACACCCGCACACCACAAACCCCACACTCAAATCATGCTCACCACACAACGCACACCCCACAACCCTGCACGCACGCACGCACATCCCACACGCACACATCACACACCCACACTCACCCCACACGCGCGCACACACACACCCCACAACCCTGCACACACACATCACACACCCACACACACGCGCACACACCACACAACCCTGCACGCAAGCACACCCCACACGCACATTAAAGATACTTGATTTGGATATTTTTGTGTTTTTTGCAAAATTTGGGATTAAATGGGTTAAAATGTCTTATTGATGACCTGTCTTTTTGGCAGACCACAGATCTAACCACTTATGGGTCTGCTGTTCTTCGTGGTCTTCCCCTGTACATGAGAGAGCCAGCTTCAATTTCAAAGACTATTAAGGTAATTTGAATATCTTTATGGTATTACTCTTTGAGATGCAGTAATGATTGCATAAGACATTATGCTTTCAGTCTGACACTTAGTGTCATTTATTGTGTTTCACAGAATACTGAGGCACTGGGGCCACACACAAAGGCCATGAAAATGGGGATCCTGGAAGTGACTGACAGTTCTACCAACTCAGGACCATATTCCACAGTGGTCAATGTGGCTGTAGTACTGGAGGAGGAAGTTGTCATGGACAATTTGGAAGACTTCACAAATGCCCTTGTGATGCTCTTTGGTCTGCTTTATGCTGTAAAATGGAGTAAGGACTTAAGGTACACATTTGAGGCAGTCCAGAAGATTATCTTAAACTGCTGCTCTGGAACTTGTTGATCAAATAAATTGATATTTGATTTGTAAAGCAGTAGGGATGGGCAATGGTTAATCGTGATTATTCGCATCCAAAATAAAAGTTTGTGTTTACTTAATATGTGTATGTAGTGTGTATAATTAATTTGTATATATAAATACACACACATGCATGTATATTTAAGAAATAGCATGTATATACTTTGTAGTTATACATAATTAATATTATATTTGATATATTAATAACATTTTTTTCTTAAATATATACATACATGGGTATTTATATATACAAGTTAATTATACATACTACACACATATTATGTAAACACAAACTTTTTTTGGATGCGATTAATCGTTGCCCATCCCTACAAAGCATTCATCCCTGAGAAATATTAGAATGTTTAATTTTTTAAAGTAGAGATTTATTTTGCCAATAGAACTGTTTTAATGTACATAGTGACGTATGTAACCTGAAAGTAGTGGGCAGTACTTTGTATTTTATTTTTTCCATGTAATGTACAGTAATTGCCCTTAGTCTTAGACTAACAGACTAAAAATGTCATATGTTTACAGGCAAAGCCACTGTCATGTTTTACTGAGTAAAGCAGATATTTGTTGTACAGCTATTGACTAAGTTATATGCCATGCTTTCTTGAACTCTCAGATCTTGTTTCGGCACTATTTGAATACTTGTGTAATATTTTACTTGAGACTAACAGGCAAGTCTTTTGTATTTTAATAAATGCATAAAATGTACTCTATCAGAGCCTAGTGTGTTATTTATTTGAAATAATGAAAAAGAGACTTTTTTTGACCAACATTAATGAAAAATAGACTTTTTGGCCAACATGAAATATTTAATTAATACAACATTTTATTTCAATTTGAGTCTGTTCATTGGCCCAACAAGCTGTTTAGTCAACAGAAAATATTTAATTGACAACATTCTATTTCAAGTTAGGTCGACATGCAGGGGTAGTCAGCACAACACAAAAAAGTTGGTTTCCGCAACTTAAATTGGGCCAACTAAAAATTTTAGGTGCAACGGGTCACTAGAAATTTTTATGTTGGAGAGGCATATATTTTTTTACAGTGCAGATGACAGTGTCCACAGTTAACGCTTCCTGCACAGGTTCCTTATCTCATCAGCTCGGCTTATTCAATAGCAATTTAAACATTTGCATTAAATTAGACTACACAAAGAAACACATCTGATTAATTTTTCAGGCATTTTATTGACATAGCATGCAAAAATTGTAAGCTCTTCTTCACACTTATGTTATATGCACTTTTTTTAAGTTAATTTACAACAGTGTAAAAAAAGTTGCTGCCTTATTACATTAAACTGACGGGGTTTTTTTTAGCTTTTAGTATGTTAGCCTTAAGGTTATGAGTAAGCTGGTGTGTTCCAAAACAATGACAAAATTCACATTTAGGAGATAACCATTGGAGATAACATATAGTCTCTCACTTCCGCTTAAAGGGGTCATGAACTGGCTTTTTAAATTTTATTATATTGTTGTCTGAGGTCAACTTATGACGTTTGCTTGGTTTTTACATTCAAAAACATCAATATGAATAAGTAATAGGCTATTTTGTACCCCAGTTTTGAGCCTAGCTGAAAAACGCTCGGTTTTTATGGGCGTCTCGCACTTAAGACTAGTAAGTAAACGCCCACTGCTGTGAGTGGATAACAGTTTTGCATTATAATGAGTTCCAACTCACCCGTCAGTGCAATTGGGGGAAATTGTTTTGAAAACGTCCAATTGTAAAATGGCAACTGGAATGATTCGCCCATACATGTTCGACCCACAGCACAGACTTGATCGGCCTGCAAATCCAGTCTTGTTTACAAAACAATCCTCAGTAAAATGAAGCGAACAAAAAAAATAAATAAAAATAGCTCTCTCCTGCATGGTACTCAAGTTATTACATTCCTTCCCGGATCTATCGGCAAACAAATTGACGCAACATCTCAGGGTAATGGTATACAACTAGCCCTCTGACAACAAACCAGGGTGGCATTCTGACATCAGGCGGCTGTAGTTGAAACCACATTCCGACACAGTCCTTTTAAATGAAACAGCTGATTTAAAGATTACTATTGCTGGTCACTCGATGGCGTCCGCACCATTGGCCTTTGGACTTGCTGCGATTTATCGCCGGTGTTTGAATGGGTGTAATGCGGTAAAAGCATAGGCGTCGATTTCGGTGGTGACTGTGGGTACACGTCCCCACCAGATTTCGTCATTAGTAATTTTGTACCCCTTTTGGAAATATTGAGTCATGGATTTACCTACTACAAATAAAACATCTCCAGTTAACTAGCAGAGCATTAGTTCGCTCTTAATTAAGAGATCTAGATAGTGGTTAAATTTTATGTTTTTGAAATCAAGCTGAGCGCTGTCATGGATACAGTTCTCTTGTGGCTCGCGCAATCTTCACACTACGCGCACTTCAATCTACCGGCGTTGCAGAGACTCTCTATTCATTCCTATATATATATATATATATAGATACATTTATTGGCTATCTAAAGGCAGCCCCGTCTCTAACGAATTTCAATTAAATTAAATTAAATTAAAGAGAAATTAAAGGCAATTAAAGAGACAGCTTCACCTATGGGTATTGCGATCGCGAAAGGACACAACCAATCCAATGCATTAAACATGAAATACTGAACGAAATTCTGATGTGAAAATTCGTGTTAATGGATTTAGTTTGTGTATCCTTTAATTTGTATGAGTGTGAAATCCGTCTGTGTTTCTTTTGATGGCAAAATCTCGTTTACATGTGTACTAATAAAAAAATAATAATCTGAGGGTGCATTCACTTTTGTTTGAGGGTGGTGTTTTATCCTCTTGGAGGTCATAGTTCCCCACTTTGAAAATGAGACGTCATATTCCCCACTTTGAAAACGAGTCGTTCCCCACTTTGAAAACGAGCCGAGGTGGTGTTTTATCCTCTTTGACGTCATAGTTCCCCACTTTGAAAACGAGACGTCATAGTTCCCCACTTTGAAAACGAGTCGTTCCCCACCTTGAAAACGAGCCGGGGTGGTGTTTTATCCTCTTTGAGGTCATAGTTCCCCACTTTGAAAATGAGCCGGGGTGGTGTTTTATCCTCTTTGAGGTCATAGTTCCCCACTTTGAAAACGAGACGTCATAGTTCCCCACTTTGAAAACGAGTCGTTCCCCACTTTGAAAACGAGCCGAGGTGGTGTTTTATCCTCTTTGAGGTCATAGTTCCCCACTTTGAAAACGAGACGTCATAGTTCGCCACTTTGAAAACGAGTCGTTCCCCACTTTGAAAACGAGCCGGGATGGTGTTTTATCCTCTTTGACGTCATAGTTCCCCACTTTGAAAACGTGTCGTTTGCTGAGTCTGGTGTCAATAAAAGCTTTTATTGGACTAACAAGGACGTTTTCAGTTCTGAAACTTACAGGATATTCTCATAATATGATGACCTCTTAGATGTCAGAAGCTCAAGGAAAATTTGATTTCTCAGTTCATCACCCCTTTAAAAGGATCTCAGGTTTTTATGACATCACCGCGGACTTCAGCTTCTCATCACATCTTCTGTCCAATCAAATGCTCTCTAGAATCAAAAGCGCTCCATGACTCCCGCCCCCTACGCTATAAACACCACCTGGCAAAAGCGAACTTGACATGTCATGGAGCAACATGGGCTGGAGATGTGTGTGTTCACTTGCTCAAACACTTAAGAATGAAATGGCTTGAATTTATTCACACCTCTACTATTGAATCCAACGTATCACCAGCGCTCTAATTCGCTTTCATAGTGCTGTCAAGTACGACTTGCAGTCTGTGAGTTAAACTAAACGCGATTGGCTATTTGAAAAGGGGGAGGAGCCATTCAATATGTCCCGCTTCAGCTTCCTGTTTTAGTGGAAATCAACTCAACCCTTTAATCTTATTCTGATGAGTTAAAGCAATGCAAAAACATGTTATTATAACTTAATAATATAAACTGGTATTTATTTTTATTTCATAAGTTCAATTTCACCACTGCAAGTCATGAGTTTTTGTAAACAGTAAATAGCCAGATTATCAGAAAAACACGTCAAACAGAGTCTTAAAAAGTTTTGGTAAGACTACACATAATGAGTCTTGTACTTCGACACGTTTCACTTTGTTTATTCTCGTAATACATTGGTACACCGTACATTGACTCGTTCTCATAACTGAATATTGACATAATAAAAGATCAACTACTGTAGCAAGTAATTATTGACTCATTGGCCACATGAACATTGCACAATCATTTGCACCAATGCTGAGCAGTTCAATGCACTGTTTAACAACACCTATTAAAGTATATCTAGTACATAAATGATATGTTTAGTTTGCAACTCTAAACCTTTTATTCACCTAACAAAAGTTGCATGATCTTTCATGTTAACTTCACTAAGGTTTCACTGGGTGGGGCCTTTCGCTGCATCAAACATCTTCTTTCTTCCCTCCATACCAGACATGGCCTCGACGTTCTTCCTCCAGTCACTGTCTTCAACTGGCCTCTTCTGCAGAAAGATACAGCAGTGTTTCTACTACTAAGTGATGATTAAACACAAATGTGTGCTCAACAAACTAGTGATGTTCTATTGAATGTCAATATAATGAATTTGGTTCAGCCACTTTTTCACCTGAATGAACTATTTCAAAGGAAAATCGGTTATGTTCAAAGACTTGAGGATGTCAAAGCCACTAGTCCCTGCTGGTCATTTGTATCTACACAACATCTAAATAACATATTTATCCATTGATAGGCATTCAAAAGTAGCCATGTTGAAAAGTCGTCACCAGTAACTTCATGTGATAAACCAAGCTTCAAGGATCTCACTGTTCTTGGCACAGTTTGAGTCAGAAAGAAACAGAAAGTATTTTTGTTTTTTAATAATTTAGCGGAACAAGCAGAATTAGCGACATATATTTGCTTCCGTATTGTGACACACTTGAGTGTGATGGATTATTGAAAATGATGATGTACTGAGATCTTAATAAGCGATACGATCATTCTGTTCAAGAAACCGAACATTATTTATAACATTATTACCTGTAATCCAAAGACCAGCCCGTTTTCATCCCAAGGTGTCATATAATGACGCTTTTGCCAATGCGTAGACATCCAATACACATGGCACCCTTTAGCGTCAATATGAGACGCAGATATATATGGGACAGAAAGCGCCTCCAAGTGGTCTAACCCCAACCCAGACCTAAACCTACCCATAACCGTAGCATGTTAAATTGACGCTAAATGGTGCCAAGTGCGTTGGATGTATAGGCATTGGCAAAAGGGTCAGTATATGACGCCTTGGGATGAGAATGCGTTGCAATGAATCGTCAGGAGCAACGGGTATTCATTTTGTTTTGCCTCTAATATGTTTTATTGACTCTCAAAGTGACGGTATAGCTATTGACTTGCATTATACAAATCACCAAGCACCGCGCAAGCAACATTGTGTCGGCCCAGAACCGGCCCACATCGGGTAGACTTGTGTTGTTTTTCCATAACCAGTACCAGCTCGGCTCGCCTCGACTCACTTTTCGCACAGTTTTCCATTGCAGATAGTACGCCACAAATAGTACCCGGTCGTCATAGCGACGCCTTTCGTTCCTTGCTTCCCTATTAATCTCTCACTGGATCCTCACTTTGGCAACCAAACAAAGGAAAGTCTGCACCTCCTCGTTTGACCACGGCGTATTCCATAATAATAGTAGTAAGTTTAGAAACTATCTCTGGCCAAACTATTTAAAAATGGCGGGGATACTGTACTTTGGGTACTCCATCTGACGCGTGCAATGATGACGCAGTGAATGGTGAAGATTCTCTCTGACCAATCAGTGGTCAGCACTCGGCATTGTTTTCACGTCACATTTTAGTATCGCCTCAGCTCGCCTTAGCTCGCTCAGAACCTCGCCAGAGGTGATACTAAAAAAAGGTACCCAAAAGAAGCTACAGGTAAAACTTTTGCACAGTGGAAAACCAAACAATGCCGAGCCGAGTCAAATCGAGTTGAGCTGGTACTGTGTAGTGGAAAAGCGCCATTAGATTCTACGCGTACCAGATGTGGGCCGGATCTGGGCCGACACTATGTTGCTGTCTGGTTGGTTTCAGCTAAAAATCTTTATTGAAGAAAACTATCACCTATACATAAAGGTAAAGCTTTGCAAATATAAAAATCCTCAAATATAGTATATATCAAATTTTAATTAACTACAGTAACAAAGTAATAACACTTTATTACTGTCCATCACTGGCTAATCGTTATGATCCGAAGACATTAAATTGAAAATAACCCACAAGGCCCCTTTAATCTGCTGGTTTATCTACTCTATTAAGGGCTTGGTCTCTTCGGTATCAGTGTGTTGTGTTTCATTTATCTGTGACACAATAAAAACATGTATTTACATTGAATTCATCTACGCATCTACACAAAGGCGTTTCTTCTAGTGCGCCATACTTCTGTTGTCCACTCTCGTTTCTGTCATCCAACACCTAATCTCTATTATAGTCAAGACAACCACTGAAAAGAATTAACATTGTCACTGTTTGGTCTCCAAAAACGTAGCCTTTCACTCCTCCGCCTCACATCCCATGAGCCTCCGCCTTTCCAACAGCTTTTGGAGATGATGTCATCCTTCTTGTCTGAGCTCTGGTAAGCTCTGAATAGTCAGGGTGCATTGTCTCTTTTCATATCTGCACGTGGACCATTTGTTCAAGTGCCAATCCAGTTTAGGGAGTAAGGTGAGAAGTTTAGTAATGTTTTTAAGCCTTTCACTGGCGTAACCTTGAGGGATTAACAGTTTACTCTCATTATCTGACACGGAACATTCAAAGATCTCCCCTACTTGTCTAGTTTTGTCTAATATGGTTTCACCTGCCGGCATTTGCACAAATATACCCATTTGACTATGTAAGCATTGCTTGAATTGGTCATATAACTGTGTTTATGTGTTCAGATGAAGTACCTTCTCAGTATCCTCTTTTTTCACAGATTTGAGGTTGGCTCGTAGATCCATTGAGACTTTGTGCTTTGAGCCTAGGAGGGATCGGAGGATGGCATCTGCAGAAACCCTCACCCTCCTCAGGGTGGGCCGCTTGAACTTCCCCCTCAGGTCCAGTACCTTAATATTCAGGTCTTTGATCTACAGGATGGATAGTCAATTGATTACTTATGAGACATCTAGCATAGAAATCAACCAAGGCCTTGTTCCAAAAGCTAGTGAGCTCCCTACATAGATAGCATTCTCCTTGTACTTACTGCAGGTGTAACATACTTTGGAATAATTACTTTAACTATGCCTTCTTTAGGCCATTGTCAGAGGTAGTATTGTGCCCCTGTGTCCATACACACTTTCATAAACAAAAACCAAAAAAAGACAAAACAGTCAGTGAAATGGGTAATATGTCCGAATTTATAAAACAGTAGGCAAAAAGTTCTCAGATGACCTACTGCTTTCAGACATTCCCTAGACAGCAACATAGTGTCGGCCCAGATCTGGGCCACATCTGGTACATGTGGATTCAACACATACCAGATGTGGGCCAGATCTGGGCCGACACTATGTTGCTGTCTGTGAAGTGAGCATCTGAAATGGACACTTCACTATCCCATGAGGCCATGAGAGAGGATTTGTTAATGGCAGTTAGCAGTGTTGGGAGTAACGCATTACAAAAGTAATACATTACAGTAACATATTACTTTTTGCTGTAAGTAACGCAGTAGTGTAAGGCATTACTAATCAATTTTCAGTAATATTTTACTCGTTACATGTTCAGTGAGGCTTGTATTACAGTTGTATTACAGTGTATTGTCTGCTTTTACTTCTTAAAGGCAACAGACTATGTGAAAGTTTTAAAGCAGTCTTTTAGTGCCAGTTCAGAGCGGTCGCGTCTGTAACATTGTTTTTTCCTCATAAATGCGAACACGAAAACTAAAATAAAATGAATATTTTAAGTTCTATGGAGACCGGAGAGCCAACCCTTCCTGATCCGATTTGCGCAGTGTAATTAACAGAATTACAAAAAATATATTTGACCTCCTATTTTTTTGTCACGCATGAATGTGTGTCTTTTCCCTAATATTAAAAATAAAACATAGACTATTTGTCTAATGTCTGGAGTCCTTTAAGGAAGTAGCCTATATACGTTTCAATACATGAATTTTCTGAGAATTTTTATTTCAAGTTTTGACTGCAAATGTCATCATGTCCATAATGCTGGACTTCCCCAATTTTAAATAATTTATCCTCAACTAGTTTTGTGGTGTAGGTCTACGTATTTTATAATGTTAACTTCAAATAATACTAATAGCCTAATTTAAAGATAAGGCAGCATTGGATCTGGACGGTAAGGAGAATAACGCTGGAGTTGGAAGAGGTGTGTCGCGATTTTGTAGGTTCGTGGCGAATCGCGATTTCGGTTTCATATTGCATATCGTTACAGCCCAAAAGTTAAGTTCTACTTAGTTATTTTGGTGAAAGTAACTCAAAAGTAATACATGAGTAATGTAACGCATTACAATTCTGGGACAGTAATATTGTAATGAATTACTTTTAAATAACAGTAACAAGTAATACCTAATGTATTACAGTTTGGAAGTAACTTGCACAACACTGGCAGTTACACACTACACACTTTTTGACAGTCACAAAATAAATTCTTATTTAAATGTACCTACTCAGACAGTTTGCAATTTTGGATGCAGTGCAAGTAGCCTATTTGTTGTTGAGAAGAAATCCCATAATGCACTACAATGATGAACAAATCCATTCAAAATAGCAAACGAAGCAAGATATATATCTATTATGAGTACAATTCTGTTATAAAGTACTGCTTGAATGAGCATTTGTGTCTACTTTGAGTTTATTAGAGTGCCATGCAATGTTGTTAGCTTGGCGACATGCTAACGCCAAACTGTATCAGAATTAATTAGGAGTTGATTCTCATGAGTAACTCACACACATTTGTTCCTTATTAGGTTCCCTGTCAGTTAGAATGTTTCCTTTAGGCCCATTCGCACCAAGGACGTTAACCATAGTGATAACAATAAGGATATAGTTCTAAAAATCTTTCTAATATTTAAGAATACTAGAGTTCACTAGAGCTTTAACGAAAACGGCGCAGAGAGAAACAATATTGTTCAGAACGTTTTTTTTTTTTCCCAACTGAAAACATTGACAGCCAATCAGAATCCCTCCTGCTTAAATGACCTTGAGCAATTAAAGTGGCAGATGACAAAACGGTGGCATGCACTTAGAATAGAGAACCCAATGGTTTGGATGGTGATATCGTTATTGTTAAAGTTATCGTTCTTGGTGTGAACGGGCCTTTGCCTATGTAGGGAGTAGACAGCAAGAGAGCTCACATAGTTTTGGAACAGCCTTTTAAAGAAACATCTGACGAAATTTCTTCCCCCTTTTTATTAAAATCACAATCCCAAATGCTCAGAGTTGCATGCTAATATTAGCAACCTCCAAATAGACCAGATGAAGACATTGTCCAACTGGTTATTAATCTATAGATTATGTGGATTTTCATACCTCACGCTTATTCAGTAAGACTTTGGCTTCAATATCATAGCGCTCCTCATCCACCACATCAATCTTACCATGAAGCTCTTGACAGAGTTCCTAAAAGAGACAGTAATGTTAATCGAGTTTCAGGAATCCTATTTGAAGTGAATGCGTATAATATTTCATCGACCAACAAAATAAAGCTTATCCAAAAGCCTTTTATTACGAGAAACGAAACATCATATGGCAAATTTTCCTACTTATCGTGTTACTCAGACATCTTATAATAATGATTGTGGTTGGCTTGGATGGCTGTTTACATTGCAATTAGTCAAATTAAGAAAGACAGGCATTGGGCGGGACATTTGCATCAGCCTTATGTAAGCATGCAAATATAACAGGGTGGGGTGGCGTGAGCAGCAGTGATTGTACCATTAGATTTTAAGTCGTGAGGATTTCCGTGTGGCACCAAATGAGCTAAACTGGAGGTTTGGAGGTAGACTTCATGTAGAAGTAGCCCATGAGGTTACCTGAAGCTCAGCGAATGACATGCCCTGCGTCTGCAGAGGAGAAGCTTTCTCCGTCAGATACCTCTGTTTCTCTTCCTCTTTATCCAACACCTCCTGCTCCAGCTCCTCCTTGGCTTTGGCCACCATCAAACTCTGAACACACACAAGTATTACAACGCATTCTCATCCCAAAGCGCCATATACAACGCTTTTGCAAAAGCGTAAATATCCAACGCACATGGCACCCTTTAACGTCTAATGAGACGCTTCGGTTATGGTTAAGTTTAGGTATGGTGTAGGGTAAGGGTTAGACCACTAGGGGGCGCCTTCTGCCCAAATATATCTGCGTCTCATTTCACGTTAAAGGGTGCCATGTGCGTTGGATATTTACGCTTTTGCAAAAGCGTCCTATATGGCGCTTTGTGATGAGAACGGGCTCAGTATTATCAACCCGATCTCACGGGAATTCGTACGAATTTTACGAGGTGGCTAATTCGTAACAATTCACACGACCTCACTCGTACAAATTAGTACGGTTTTGCAAAATCGTACATATTTTACGAATTGGCCAATTCGTATGAATTCGTACGAATGACCTACCCCTGACCCCGCCCCTAAACCTAACCATCACGTGGGTTTAGACAAATCGTATGAATTCGTACGAGTGAGGTCGTACGAATTAGTACGAATTAGCCACTTTTTAATCGCTCGTACGAATTCGTACGAATTGGTCGTGAGATAGGGTAGGTATTATTACCAAGTTATATTATTACCAAGTTATAGAGGCGGGCTCCAGCAGCCGCCTATTGTTCCTCTATCTCCCGCAACTGTTTATCGCTTTATTGCGGCTCGAACAGGTAGCCGCGAGCATCAGATTCTCGCAACAGATCTTCGAAATCCCCTTCTGCCACTTCTAGTCAACTTCAAAACTACCTTCCACCATCGTGATTAGCCTACTATACAAACTTTCTAAACAGACCAAGAGGAAAGAGCCCCTTAGGGTAGCTTCTACAGAAAGATGGCTGAAACGATCTTTAGATTCTGTGAGTGAGATCCCGCCCCATATGGGGCGTGGTAAAAACATGCATAACACTGGCACTGGCAAAATGACGATTTTTGCGTCATCTGAGGATTTTTTCTAGACTAAAATTTTTTCTCTCATATCAGGGGGATATGAGGGGGGGAAGCATGGTAATTCGAAAATACTACTGGTGTTCTACTGATACAAAGCTTAATGCTAAATCCTGAAGTATCCCTTTAAGGAAATAACATAGTTTAATATGAAAAAAACGGTGGAGTATTCCTTTAAGGTCACTGAGTTTTGGGACACTCTTGCACAATTTCATGTCACGTACACGCACTGTGATATGGCCAAGAGCACAAGTATGGGTATTGGGACAGGCCAAACACTTTCCTGGTTTAGACACATGCCTGCCATCTAGTGGTGTGTATACTCAGTCTGAATCTTTCTGTCTGTCTTTAAGGCACTATTAAAAAAAGTTGCTGCCTTAAATTTTTAAGTACAATCAACTTGGATGTTTAAGTCATTACAACTTAAAGTACATTATATTGACTTTAAAAAGGTTTGATTCTTGTACAACTTATAAAAAAAAGTTTGCTCAACTTTTTTTGATGAGTAAGCAATGTAAAAACATATGTTGTCATAACCTACGCTATCTCACGACCAATTCGTACGAATTTGTACGAGTGATTAAAAAGTGGCTAATTCGTACTAATTCATACGACCTCACTCGTACGAATTTGTACGATTTGTCCAAACCCACGTGATGGGTAGGTTTAGGGGCGGGGTCAGGGGTAGGTCATTCGTACGAATTCATACGAATTAGCCAATTCGTAAAATATGTACGATTTAGCAAATTGTTACGAATTAGCCACCTTGTAAAATTCGTATGAATTCTCGTGAGATCGGGCTGTCATAACTTGTTGATCATATATTTATTATAGTCCCAGCAATCGAAAAGCTGCTTCAGTGGACGGCAAGGTTTAAAGGGCGGTATAAACAAAAAGGTTTGAGAACCACGGCCTAAGTTTCTGCATTGTTTGTGCTATGGATGTTGAATGTTTTTGGATGTTTCGAATTATACTGTATGTGTTACAAACTTGTGTGTAATGGGTGTTACAAACCAACCTTTAGCATAACCTTTCTTGAGGCTGAGATCTTGGACTTTCTCTGGGGCACAGATATGAAAGTTATAACACAGTAAAGGTATTACAGATAATCAACGTTTTAGTTATTAATGAGAGGAAATAATGCATAACTTACCTCTTGCCTGAAAATACAGCATAACATGTACATTGGTAGGGTGAAATTTTAAAAGACCATTGTAGAGATTATTGTTGGTATAAAAGCCTGTTCACACCAAGAGTGGTAACTACTGTAACGATAACAGTAAAAATCTAAAAATTGAACTAATGTACAAGAATAGCAGAGTCCACACCACAACTATAACAAGAACATATATAGTTGAAATCTCCCTCGGAACAAATTTTTCTCAGCTAATAGGCTACAATAAAAACAATGAAAGCCAATCTATTCTGCTTGAAAGAGCTTTTGGAACGTAATCATTGCTGGTGTGGATGCTGTAGTTACCATTATAGTTATCGTTCTTGGTGTGAACATATTTATAGATACACACTCACCCTTGTTCAGGCATCTTGGCATCTGAGCACTAAAAGAAAGCAAAACCAATGCTAGAAGATTTTGATACATTCAATTTAAATCAGTACTCCCACTGAATCCCCACTGAATGAATCCAGGAATACATCATGTCCTCCTCTGACCTTCTCGTTATGTTTCTGTATGTCTCTGTCAGTGACTTAAACACCCCAAAACAAAGCTTCTTAGCTGGACAAACACAAAGACAAGAATTTAAAGCTTTTGGCAAGGGGTGATTGTTTTATTTTGGAAAAAAAATAAATGCGTGAGGTGTAATGTGTGTCTATAAAGATAAGCAGGAAGGTCAAATAAAATAAAGAATTATATTAATTATATTAATTATATTATACTGTATTATATTATATTATATTACATTATATTTTATTATATTATATATACTTTAAATGTAAAATTTTATATATATATATATATATATATATATATATTTAAAACAAAATATAATTTTGTAACTTTAATAACTATTCCCTTATTATTGTGATGTATTATATTAGAGTGTCAAATTATATATTTATAGGCTAATTCTTAAAATTACGAGAAAATCGGGATGAGAAACGTTGATAAATTGATTTTATTTCCTATATACATATATAAGACATTTATTATTAATATGACTATTAATAAGACAATAAAAGTGTATACAAGTTAAATATAGAAATGTATTCAAAAAACAACAAGAGATTTCAAATGAATGTAACTAAAGAAATTTACATTTGGTCTATTACTAAATATGCAAAATGATTATCAGATTCCCCATCAGAAGCATCTGATCTTACCGTACAGTGTGGGTTTGTGTGTGTCGTCCTCAGACTGATTATTGATAACAGAATAGAGATGTGCTCCTTTATTTAACCCTCAGAGTCTCTCTATCTCTAGTCTGTCAGTGGAGGATATTATTAGAGCACACATCTCTCTCTCTCTGTTTGTCTGTCTCTCTTTCACACATTAGGTTCATCTCATGGCTCCAGCGCTCTTTGCTGTCTGTGCCGGTGGACCATCACTAGTCTGGGTTATCTGTTCAGAGAAGATTGTTCTGCTATGCTGTGAAATGTCAATTTACTGTGGCTCCAAAAAGTATTTGGACACTTAAGCCACTCTTAATGTCGGAATGTCATTGTCATCAATCCAAGTGGCAACTGCAGACAAATGTGCTAGAGCTTTTCTCAAGGCATGCGGTCATATTAGCTGCAGCTCATCATACTGTAAAAATGAATATACGCTTTATCTAATCAAAAAATTGTGGCCACAGATTACAAGCAATATTACTATTTAAATTTAACAAATTGGAATTGAGTAATAATTAATCAAATTAATTCCTTGAAAGTTAACCATTTAAAATGAGTAAAACTTACAACAACCAAAAAAATAAAAAATAAAAAAACGTAAATTTAAGTCACCATTATGGTGATCAGTGTTTGTTTTAGGTTTGTTTGTTTTCTCCTTCAGTGATTCTGCTTGTTGACATCAGGTGTCTTCAATGTTGGCAATATAAATTAAAGAGTTCTTAATTAATCTTTGACGTCTGTCTGTTAGTAAGGTATTTTTGTTAATTATTTTGTTGTAAACTTTACTCATTTTAAATGGTTAACTTTTAAGGAATAATTGATTTATTGATTAATTATTACTCAATTCTAATTTGTTAAATTTAATTAATAATATTGCTTGTAATCTGTTGCTACAATTTTATTGATTTGATAAAGCGCATTCATTTTTACAGTGCAAAGTTTTGTGGGTGAAATTGAGAAATTAATTGAAGTGTTTGTATTTTCTTTGTGAGGACCAGTTTGAGTTTTACACAACAGAAGTGAAGACAAACTGAGTGATGTTTGAAAGCCTTTTAAAGAGGTTTTAAACTATCCTTTTAAATTATGCAAATGAGGCATTACTTATTGAATATGTGCTCAATTGCACACAATTTCAAAATGTAACTCTGAACATTGGATGAAGCCAGGTTTAAATCCATGTTTCATTTTGTAGTATTTTTACAGAGGGGGTTTTGGATGAGGAAACCCTTATTAGACCTGCATGACCTGGAATTAACTGACTATTATTTTGCCATCACATAGGGTCAATGTTATGAAAATATACAACAGCAGCGACACTCAGCCCCTCTTTCACTAAATAAAACAAGACTGCTTCATTGTAATGCGCACTTGGAGAGTATCTCAACTGAAATATATATATATATATATATATATATATATATATATATATATATATATATATTCTAAAAACAATAATATTATAATATAAAACAAATAATATGATATTAATGAAATAAAAGCCGGCATGGTTAAAAATAGTTTTCCTTTAGAATGAGCAATTAATTTCATTCTGGATCATCAGGAATGGTACATCAACAGAACTGATAAAACTGTATTATATTATATTATATTTATATTATATTATATTTATATTATATTATATTATATTATATTATATTATATTATATTATATTATATTATATTATATTATATTATATTATATTATATTATTTGCAGCGCTGCAGAAATTCTTCACCTCAGTCTTCCTCGTGATGTTTTAGTCTGCCCTCTGCTGGAGATCTAGTCAACTTTATTATGTACTTTTTTGACCAAAACTATTCAATAATTTGCCAAACACATTTGCTTGGTCGCGATTCTCTAAAGTTTGGTTAATGTTCACATTGTCACAAGGTAGGCAGCTATATTTTTCATCTTCTTTTAGTAAGTGTTTTATTATTATTATTACAATATATTATTGTTTTATTATTATTTAGTGTTTTGATTTTTGTTAATAAGGTCCAATTCTCACTATTAACTTGCTTATTAGCATAAATATTACTAGAATATTGGCTCTTTATTAGTACTTATAAGCACATATTAACGTCTTAATCTGCATGATCATATTCTACATCCCTTAATCACCCAATACCTACTACATTACTAACTATTAATAAGAAGTAATTAGGAGTTTAATTAGGAGTTTATTAAGGGAAAAGTCATCTTTAATAGATAGTTAATAGTGATAATTAGACCATAAACTAAAGTGTGATCAATGATTAATAAATAACAACAATGTCTTACATTATATATCAAACATTATATTGATCTAAACATTATATTGAAATATATTAACTTTGGCTGCTGACAAAATGTTTGTGACAATGCACCAATTTGATCTTTCCCTTTATTTCCTCTTTTCCCGTCCTTCGGATGAGACGTTAAACCGAGGTCCTGACTCTCTGTGGTCATAAAAAATCCCAGGATGTCTTTCGTAAGAGTAGGGGTGTAACCCCGGCATCCTGGCCAAATTTGCCCAGTAGTTTTAGTAGTTTTTTGCCCAAAAGTGTTTATTAAACACAGGTTAAAGAGGCATGTTGAATCCATCAGGCTCTCACTCAGCTGCTATTTTAACACAGTTTACACACACCATCTCTCTGCTCCTCGCATGCCTCTGTCAGTGACGCACAGAACCTTCTGGAATGTAAGAGACAGGAAGACTGCAGTCGAGGGGAAACAAATATCATATTCACTTTCCCTTTCTTCTCACTTGTGTTTTGTATTACGCTTAAAGATTCAAGGAGCATTTCATCCATGAAATGCAAGAGAAGATATTATGAAAAATGTTGCACCTTAAACGCATTGAAGAAAATGGAAGAAAATTAAACATGACATTTTGAAGTGGAAAGACTGAAAACGGATTTCTTGTGAAATATAGGCCTATTTCAATAATCTTTTATTAATACCTGGAAGTTGTCTACAACCCCAAAATCAAGTTGTACAGTGCAGTTTTAGTCTATGGAAAGACATTGTCAAAATATTGTCTCGGTTACGTATGTAACCCTCGTTCCCTGAGTAGGGAATGGAGACATTCCGTCGGATGATGATGAGGATTTTGCATAGTGTATCTCCGCCTTACCTCGTGGGTATAAAAGGAGGATGCCGGCAATATGTAGGTATGTTTCTTCGCTGAGGAGCCAAGACTGAACTCGGCTGTTCCAGTGGTACTGAGCTCAGGGAACGAGGGTTACATACATAACCGAGAGATTCCCTTTCGCTGTCACCCCGAGTTCTGTCGGATGACGACGAATGGGGTTACCAGTCTAATCACGCCACCTTCACAGCTGTCTTTCAGTGCTCTGCGTAAATCTGAGATCCCTGTTGTGAGACTGGCACGGATGAAGGACTCTTATTTAGCACAAGAATACCAAGGTACACTGGGGAGAATATCCCACAGTTTAGAGGAAATATGCAATTCCTGCCAACCACCAGTGCTGTAGGAACTCAGGACTTATAAGGCTCACCTGAGGAAAATAATCGCACGTATCCAGTCCGTGGAGTGGAATGGCAAGCAAGCGAAGACATAGTCCTAGTACCGGCTGGTTGAAGCGAGTACATGGGCGGACACAGGCTCCACTTGGAATCTGTCGAATGTATAGGGTGTCACCCAGCCCGAAGCTCTGCAGATGTTTGTTAGCGAGGCGCCATGAGCTAGAGCCCAAGAAGATGCCACACTCCGGGTGGAGTGGGCAGTCACATCAAGGGGGCATGGACAACCTTGCTGCTGGTATACCAAAACACTAGCATCCACAATCCAGTGGGACAGCCTTGCTTGGAGAGAGCCTTTCCCTTCACCTTCCCATCAGACAAAGACAATGAGCTGGTCTAAAGTCCTGACACTTCGTCCTGTCTATGGTAGGCAAAAAGAGCGCGTACTGGACAGAGCAATGCCAAGGCTGGGTCTGCCTCCTCCGAGGGCCAAGAGGGAACGAGAGGAGGCGAGGAGGATTCAATCTCCTTGTTCGGGAACCTAACGATCAGGTTGTGCTTCCCCACAGACTAAACTTCAATAGGGTCATGGGGTTTGGCAATAGCGGCAACATAGACCTTCAGGGTGGAGGGAGACAGCCTTCACTCCAACCATCTTGAAGGAAGGAAAACACGACAGTGATCGAACATCTCCGGGGGTCTTCTCGGTGAGAAGAGCGCCAGTTGAAGAGGTAACACTTCTACGCATAGACGTGTCTAGTGGACGGCACTCTAGTGGAAGTGATGGTAGCCACCACCGCTGGTGGTAGGGTACTCAAACTTACCCCGTCCCGTCCAGGAGACACAAGTGGAGGTTCCAAGATCGGGATGAGGGTGCCATAGGTTTCCCCGTCCCTGAGAAAGGAGGTCCTTCCTCAGAGGAAAAGGCCAGGCAGGTGCTGTCGTGAGGAGTACAAGTTCGGAAAACCAGGTCTGGTTGGGCCAGTGTGGCGCAACCAGAATGACCTGCTCCTCGTCCTCCCTGATCTTGCTCAGGGTGAGTGAGAGAAGGATCACTGGGGGAAACGCATAATTGCGCAGGCCCCGTGGCAAGCTGTGCGCCAGTGCACTCGGACAGGGAGTAAAACCGGTCAAAGTGGGACGAGTGGTGGGAGACAAACAGATCTGTGCATCCCCGAAGTGATCCCAAATCAGCTGAACTGACTGGGCATGGGGTCGCCATTCTCCAGGAAGAGGCTGAAGCCGTGAGAGCTCGTCGGCTCCACATTTCAGGACTCCCGGAAAATAAATGGCTCGAAGCAACCGCTTCAGACTCCATAAGAGGTGGCGGGCGAGTTGCGACATACGGCGGGAGCGTAGACCACCTTGTCGGAGATGTACGCTACTGTTGCGGTATTGACTAATCGGACTAGTATGTGCTGGTTCTTGAGCAGCGCATGGAAGCAGTGCAGAGTGAGATGTACTGCCAGCAACTCGAGACATGCAATTGACATGCCATAGGCGCTGGGGTCCTGACCAGGAGCCCGCAGGCAGGCCGACGACCTCACTCAGGACCATGTGGAATTCCAGACCTGCTGTCTTAGATCCCCCTGGCCACCAGCCGAAGTATTATCTCACGTGGAGGAAAAATAGATCGGGGTGTGGATGAGGGGAGTC